GTCTACTTAATGAAAAAAGACGCTGAACTGTAAAGATTAAGGTAACATGTAAAAAATTATTTATTGTATGAGCTTCATGTATGTCGTAATATAAGAAATAATAATAAAATAAAATTTCTAGTTGCTGAAGAAGTCCCAATAAAGGGACGAAACGTCCAACTAAATCAAACATAGTTCTACTTCTTTCATGTCCAAGTTCTCTATTTTTAATATATTTCTTTATTTTTATTTCTTTTTAATTTTTGTGTAATAATCTATTATCTATCGTTAAATTTTAATTATAATTTGTTGTATATATATATATTTTCATTTACTTTGTCCCTGACGATTATAATTCGATTAGATAAAATACATATGTTTAGTGCATATTTACAAACATGCGTAGATAGGATGTATTATTTTTACGCGTATGTATTTATATAGATTATATTTATATATATTATTATAAAATTTATATTATTATTATTATTATTATTATATACATATATATAATGATGATATTAATTGATAATTACGTGTCGTTTCTATTGTACTTTGTATATTTAGTATTACGTTTTATATTATATCATGCATTTTATATTATACTTTGTATCCACATTCGATTGTTTATTGTTAATATAAAAATATGTTTGGGCATTCATTTACAAATATTTCCGATTTTATTCAGCTGACTCCATCGTGATTGTATTAAATATGAAAAGAAATAAAAAAAAGAAAGAAAGAGAAAGGAAAAATTATTTATTATTATATTTTCTCTATCTTTCTTTTTTTGTTCGTTAAATTTCTCTATCCGTCATCTTTGTCTTTATTTTTCTCTTCGAGAACGAAGAATTGTTTTTTTTTTTTTTTTTGAAAAAAAGGTTAGGACTTTTGTATTTTAAGGGAAGACAATTAAGAATGAACGAAACGAAAAATGAAAAAAAAAAGAATGGAATAAAATGAAACACATGGGAGTGGAGAGAAATAAAAGAGAAGAACTGAAAAGTTGAATGGAAAGAGAATAAGGGTTGAAAATGAATGAATGGGAAAATAGAAAAGATAAATCGTTAAAGTCAAAAATAATTTCTAACGCGTCTTATTATACGTATATATTTTACAAAATTTCAAGATTTAATCTCGATGTGTTCTCTTTTAAAGTATTAAACAAAAATTCTAACTATAGTGACTCCGTACCATCCCGATTTATATCGATTTAAATACGAGTATTTAACCCTATTCCCACCCCACCCCCTCCCCATATAATACCCTTTAAAAACGATCAAGTATATTTTGCTAGACCAATTTGTTGTCTCAATTATATCAAATTTTATATTTCCATTATAATAAAATAATATTAAAAAAAAAAACTATATTCCCTTGCATAAGAATAATAAAAATATTATCATATTGGTAAGAGAAAGAAAAATAATGCTAATAAATAAATAATGAGACAAACGTTAATAATTAATTATGAATAATTTCATTTTTGGTTTGAAACGTTACGAGTAAGAATGCGATCGTTAATAAATAAATTCGATGAATGAATATGCATGGTATGTATATGAAGTATGGAAAAAAGAGTGAGAGAGAGAGAGAGAGAGAGAGACAGACAGAAAGAAAAAAAAAAAGTAAAAAAGAAGAGTATAGTGAAAATAGAGAAAAATAAGTACTTGTTGCGCTTGTTTTAGTTTCTCGCGACGTTACACACACGGTAATGATCACAGTTCGCGTGACGCACTCACTCAGGTAAGGTTCGCGTACAACGTTAGTTGTTAAAAAATGCTTTTCCTTTCGATTTTATGCAAATCCGTATCGCACGTTCGCCAGCTGGAAATATTTTCTTATCGTTTACGCAGTTATAACCGAGTCAAACCCACCAACGAAGCGTTGGTCTGCTTAACTCATATTCGATGCATATATAATATAATATATACATAAATGTTAATTTTATAAATATGCGTAGGTATATGCAAAAAGTGTGAGCGAGCGAGAGAGAGAGAGAGAGAGAGAGAGAAATAGAAATAGAAATAGAATACTTATGTCAGAGTGTTTAAAATATCCACGAGTTATACAACAAAGCTTTGTAATATTTCTTCTTTTCAAACATTTTCACCATATTTATACCTAAAGAAATAATACACTTATCTTGACTTACGGTGCACCGAGATTTATATCTAAGAAAATTCTACGAAATTAACTACCTGCGTACAAATTATTTCTACAACATCGTAGAATCATTTTTTACCTATCCAACGTGATCTAAATAATCTAACGAATGGTTTTCTTTTTATTTTTTTCTTCCCTTATTCTTCTTCTTCTTAATCTCAATATGTAAAAAGAGAGAGATAGAGAAAATAAAAAAAAAAGTAAAAATTAGGAAACATTTTAGGTAAAAAGCACGTTGCAGTATTAATACTTTTACACCAATCGAAAAGTATAATTTCTCGACAGACTTGAGTCAAATTGTACGAGAACTTATGTCACTTAAGTTACCGTATATTTCGAAGGGGGAGAAAAAAAAAACCATGGAATCCGATATTTTTCGGAACGAAACGTTTAGCGACGCCTCTCGAATATCGAAAACCTGAAAACCTATGGGATGAATGAAGAAGGTTCCGCTTGGTTCTCAGCTTCGACTTGTACAACCGGCTGGTTGGTTTCAGCTCACTCACTTACTATACTATCTACTGTATTGCAACTTGCTCGAGGGCTCGCATCGTTTATTGATCTTTTTTCTTACTTACTCACTTCCTTCCTTCCTTCTTACCTTAACCTCCCTCCCTCCCTAACTCCCACCCACCCCTCTCTCTCTCTCTCTCTCTCTCTCTCTCTCTCTCTCCACTTTCCTTACTTCCTTACTTACTTCCTTTCTTTCTTTCTTTCTTACGTTTTATTTTTTCTTTTTTTTTTTCTTCTTTTTTATATCTTCCTACTTCGACGGTATTTCTCACTTTAACGTTAATTCACTTAGCGTCGCGCGTTACCGATATACACACCAAAACCATATTTCTATATATCCTACGACGTCTAGAAAAATATCCACGTGTACGTTATTTATTTACCTATTTTCCTTTTTCGGATATTTCTTTTTTTTTTTCTTTTTCTTTCTTTTTCGTCGTTTATTCTATAATAAATAAAAAAAAAGAAAAATATAAGAAGTGTCGTTTCTTTCACGTAGATACGAGAATTTAATCGCTATTCTATCACAATCACACGTTTAACAAATAAGTATTAATAAAATAAACGATTTCATACACTTAATTCTTGTGTATCCTTATTTATGTATATATAAATTTATGTTTTAAGAATTTTTAACTTAACGAACACAGCGTGAGGTATCTCAATCTTCAAGGATTATTATTATCGGTAATTAATAACTCACATTATATAAGAAGAAACTTTTTTCGTAATAACGTGAGAAAGAGATACTTGCAAGATTTCAAATGTTATCATTGGTTTGGTTTAATTCCGACCACCGACGAGACGTACTGGACTCGGTCCGACGGAAAGTGAATTGCAATCGTTGTTTTCTAACACTTTAAAACGTTTCAAACGTTCTAAATTAAAACCTATCTAGTTTACTCGCCCTTTCCTTTTTTCTTCTTCTTTCTTTTTTCTATTGCCCTCCCTCTTTCATCCCCTTTCTTCTATCATATACTCCTTTCCTTCCCCATTTTCTTTTATCTTCTTTTTTATTGGAATCTTTTTTTTTTCACATGACACTAATATTTTGTTGTTGTTGTTCTTTTTCGATAATTTTACACAACATTCTTTCAACATTAATCTATGAAATTAATTTCTTCTTAGTTCGATCAATCATTTACGTTGTTAAACATTTAGAAAATATTTCCAATCGTAATAGTAACAACATATATATATATATATATAATCTTTATTATTATCATTCAAAGGGGGAAATTACGATAAACGATTGACGATACACCTTTTCTAACTTATCTCGAGTGTTAATCGAGTTAATCGTTTTTTTTTTTTTTCCTAAGACTCGCTCTCTCTCTCTCTCTCTCTCTCTCTCTTTCTCTTTCTCTCTCTTCTCGCGTGCTACTATCACGATAATCACAACGAACTCGTTTCGAGTGGTTGTAAGGTAACCGGTAGGTAATACACACAGGTAGTAATAGTAGTAGTAATAGTAATCGAAGACGAGATCATCTCGGTAGCCGTTTTCTTTACGAACAGTGCTTCTTCTTTCTCATTTTTCTCGTCTCGATCGACGACAAGTATTTTATCGAAGTATAGGAAGAACACGCCGAAGACGAGCGTGGTACAGGGGCGGCGGGAGAGGGAGGAGGAGGGGGGGGGCGGCGGGTTGGTTAACAGAAACACGATTTCACGATCGTTAACACAAAGTCACATCCTCATCCTCCTTCTCATCCTCCTCCTCTCGATCCTCTTACTTCCTTTTTATTTCCTTTTCTTTTATAATGTTCGATTTAAAACGAATAATCCAAATACTTCGAGAATTTTTTTCCGATTAAAATTTGTGTCTCTCTCCAATAAGAAAAAAAAAACAAAGGTGTATTAAATTTATATATTAAACGTAAAAGTATAATATATTCGTGTACGTGTAATTAATGCACGATGTAATCCTCTCTCTTGCGATTGATAAATAATAATAATATTAATAAGGAATAAAAAAAAAATATAGTAATAATATAATAATAATTTCACTTACTGATCTCGTTAACGATGCTTCCAACCGGATGATGATCGATCAGGAGTTGGCCCTGAACAAGATCCTCCTCGAGATGGGCACGGCTCGGTCGGGCCTGCTTTCTCCGTGACATCCCTTCAAATCTTTTGAAGAATAATTTCTTTCGCGCACACGAATATTATTCACCCTCCCCCCCCCCCACCCCCCCCCAACCACACTCCACTCGCTCGTTCGTGCGCGATCCCTCAATAGGGGGATTAATGTTTGCGGCGGGCGGGAGGTTATTGTTTTGTTGTTGTTGTTGTTTTAAGATTTAAATGATTTTTCTCTTTCTTCGTTTTGTCGAATTCCTTTAACTTCACTTTCTTCTTATTCTTCTTCTTTTTATATTCTTCCAACAGTTGTTAATGATAACTTCAAAACTATCGAACGTCTAATAAACTTTTTTACTTTTAATCGATTTAAAACTATCGATTGTTGTTTTATTTTTCTTGTATTATTTGATGAAAACTTTAATTGTAAGAATAATAATAATAATAATAATAATTATTATTATTATGCGTCCCCCCAAACACACTTTTTCACTTTAAAACGAATACGAATAATTATTACGAATTACAACTATTCGATTTAATTATAATATTATCGTCCTTCTTCCTTCTTAGGGAAGAAGAACAGAATCAATGTTCTTCTATAATCATATTTTTCTTTTTTTTTTTTTGTTTTCACTGTAAAATATTCATCGAATTAAACACCATGATTTTTAATGAAACGTTTTAATATATATATATATTATATCGATATATATATATATATATATCGAGATATATATATATATCTCTATAATAATATATAGAGTATATATAATAATAATAATAATCCTTGTTTACATCTTATCTTATCACGTATTTTATCTCGTTCGATTTTTCAGAAGATCGAGACCGTCCGAATACAGTCGAGCTGCCCGAAGGCAAATGCGTACCTTTGACGATTCCATAGGCCTTATTGGTATTATTATATTTTCTCACCCGTTGAGTATAATAGGGACTCGTGAATATAGGAGAGAGTGGGAGAGAAATTGAATGAAAAAAAGAAAAGGAAGAAGGAAGAAGAAGAAGAAGAAAAAAGAGAGAGAGAGAGTGAGAGTGAGAAATCGTGGAAGGATTTGAGGAAGAGGAAGAGGAAGAGGAGGAGGGGGGACGTGAGGTAAGATGAGAGAGAGAGAGAGAGAGAGAGAGAGAAAAAAAAGAAGAGTAAAGGAAGATTGTAAAAACAATAATAAATTTTTCTCCCTTGGAATGAATAATAAAAGGAAGAAGAAGAAGAAGTAGATGACAAAAATTAGGATTGACGAAGAGACAAAAAATAAGGGGAATGGAATAATAAGACTAAGAAAGGTAAAAAGATGACGGAGTACAACCAAGAGTTTCGGCCGGCGGCCGTGTCAACTCGGCCAGTAATCCATAGAAAATGTTCACACTTTCCTCTGAGTAAGCGTTCTTCCCTCTTCGAGTAGTAAACCCCTTTAACCCATCATCCCCCTAACAAACACCAATTTCAACTATTTCTCTTCTTTTACGATTAAGTTTCTCACTGAAGTTTTCCTTTTATTCTTCTTCCTCGTTTTCGTCGTCAATTAACACTATATCTCTCTCTCTCTCTCTCTCTCTCTCTCTTTCTCTCTCTGTTTCACAAAACACTTGTGTCGTATCTCGTTTCCCTCGCGTAACGTTCCTGTTTAGCACGTGGTCCGGTAATCTTCTATCCTCTTTTATCCTTCCTCTATCTGTCTCTCTGTCTTTCTCTCTCTTTCTTTCTATATATATATATATATATATATATTTCTATATATTTTATTATTCTTATTACATTAATCACGAGTATCACACGTATACGTTCGCGCACTATTATACACTTTCTTCAAATTTCTTCGATTTTATTCTATCGAATGAATTATCAACGATTGGGGGAGTAAACGTACGAGAAAAAAGTATCGTAATTCGGATTCGTCAACGCGACGACACACCGAAGACGAAGAAATACGAAGGAGGACGGACGGACGGACGAGGATGATGCTGCTGATGATGATGATAATGATGATGATGATCGAACGTTGACTGCTGCTGCTGCTGCTACTGCTGTTGCTGCAACCACGACACGATAAAACGCACGAGGAGAATCCCGAGTATGACGGCAACGAGAATGACGATGCCGATTATATTGATGATGACGATGATGACGACAACAACACCGACGACGACGAAGAAGATGATGACGACGAGGACGACATTCGTACCATTAAACGTCAGTGTGTTACTGCACTCCTTCTCTTCCTCGTTCTTTCACACGTTTTCTGTCTATTCGTCTTTACGCAGTGCAGGTATATACGTACCACGTATGTATTCACATATATATATATGTATATAAATATATCATCTATATGCATATATATGTATACATGATATATATACATATATATGAATGTATTCAAGTATAGATATATACGTACGTGTGTATATGCGTGACTATGCGTGTATGTATATATGTATGTATGTGTCGAGCAACGTGCTTGGCTGTGCACACGTGTCTCTTCTGTCTGTCTCTTTCTCTCTCTTTTTCTTTCTCTACCAGTCTCCCTCACTATTTCTCTTTCTCTCTCGTTTTATATATACATGGTATGTTACGTATACTAATAACGTATGTCAGTCTCCTCTCTCGTCTACTTTGTCTTTTTGTCTTAATTGTTGATTGCTGTTGGTCGTCCTCGTAGTAGTAATAGTAGTAGTAGTAGTAGTAGAGTAGTAGTAGTAGTACTTGCTTGGTCCTGCTGGTGTGACGGAGGAGAGATGTGTGTAGGTGCGTAGGTGTGCGTACGCGCGCGCGCGGCCCTCGATATATATATATATATATATATATTTTTTTTTTTTATTGTCCCTGCTTTTGTATTATATCTCTCTCGCGCGAAATATCCGCGGCTCCGATCGCTCGAGTCGGCCGGACGACGGACGGACCAGCTCTGGGCCTGACGTCGAATCACCCCTCTCCACCGTCCACGGGTTACCCTGTGGTAGGGAGAAACTTCTTGCGCGCGCTTTTACCCCCACTCCTAGTTAAAACGTTGAACGTTGAAACGTTTCACCGGCGCGCACACACCGCACACTACAGTCACGTCGCTTCGAACGTACCTCCTTCTCCTCCACCCCTTATCCCCACTCCGCCGGCGACCCTTCCCTCCTACCCCTCCCCTTATAACCGATCCCCATATACTTCCTCCTCTATTTCCTCCTCCTACCTCTCTCCTTCATCCTTCCTCCTCCTCCTCTTCGTCGTTCTCCTTCTCCTCTCCTTCCGTGGTTCGACCTCCACGCCACCACCCTTTCCACCCGCCACCCCACCCCTCATACACACTGCTACCACCTCTACCTCTAGCAGCAGCGTCGACACCTCCGGTGGGGATCTCCACCCTTCGAGGCACACAGCTTCCGAACGCGCGCGACCTTTCCTTCGAATCCTTCTTCTCTATATACATACATACATACATACGTGCACATACATACATAAGTATTTCTTTCTATGTTTAAAAAAAACCCTCTTTCTTCTTTCTCTCTATACGATATTTAAAACACGACAATTTTCATCCCAAGATTTTATATCGTTCCTATTTTTTTTCTTTCCTTTTTCTTTTTTTTTTTTTTTTACGGAAGAGGGATTTCTTTTTTTCTTTTTTTTCTCTATACAAATTTTAATTGACAATTGAAATAATATCTTAGTTTCTATGGAAAAATAATGATATTATATTGGTATAGTCTCTACAGTATTATAATAAGATAAGAATAATATTGTTTAAATAATATTATTCTAAGATACATGAATAATTTAATAATTACAATGAAAAACAGAAATAGATAGATAGAGAAATAGAGAGTAAGAAAGAAAGAGAAAGAGAGAGAAAGAGAAAGAGAGAGAATGCATAAATAATTATGAGAGAGCGATGCATAAAATAACGATGAGCTAGACGCCTAGATAATCAACATTTATGAGTAAAAGAGACATACAGACAGACAAATGGATTAAATTTATGAGAGGTAAAGGGAGAGAGAGCAAGAGTGTGAGAAAGAGAGAGAGAGAGTGAGAGAGAGAGAGTGAGAGAGAGAGAGAGAAAGAATATACTAAGGTATAATATATATATATATATATCTCTTTCTCTCACGTTTATTCGCCCGTCGTACGCTTCTCCTACCTATCCCCACTTCTCCAGTTAACTCTATCTTATTCCCCCACCCAATCCACGCAACGCCGGCCGGCTGACTCCCACTCTCGGCAGATTGGAAGCGGCGGGGAGGGGCGTGGCCAAACGGCTGAACGCGTACACGCCTCCTTATGCATTATTATAGCGGGCCACTCGTGTCTCTATGATTTTATATACCGTGTCCCCGCGTGAATATTCTACTACTACTACTACTACTATGAAAGTTAGAACGAGATATAAAGAGTGAGTGAGTGAGAGAAAGAGAGAGAGAGAGAGAGAGTAGTGAGGGATAGAATAGAAACGAGAGAACGTTTTCTCTCTCTCTCTCTCTCTCTCTCACTCACTCACTTTTTACCCCCACCCCGAAACGGGTAGTAAACGCACGAGCAGCGCCGCAAGCGACGCGCGCAACTCCCTCGAACGCGATGCGCCTTCGATATTTCTCTTCTCGTCGCGACGACCACCGTCGTCAATTAGTTTCTTCGTTTTTTTTTCCCCTAGAAGCTACCCCCCAGCCCACACCGTCATCCCTTTTTTCCCCATCCTCTTTCACCTCTTCCTTCACCCCACCACCACCTACTCGCTACTCTTCCTCCTCGGCACCACCTTCTCTTTCTCTTTCTCATTCTCATCCTCATTCTATTTCTCTTCTCTTCTCTTCTCCTTCTCTTTTCCTTCTCCTTCTTCTTTTATCTATCTTCTTTCTCTCTTTCTCTCCCTCGCTATTATCCGCCCGCACGGCTTATGAGAATCTTCTCACGCTCATCGGCTTGCCGATCGGCGAATTGTTCAGATTGTTTTATTTTTCCCTCTCTCTCTCTCTCTCTCTCTCTCTCTCTTTTCTTCTTCGATACTTTTATTTTTTTTTCTCCTATTTTTTTTTTTTAAATTTAATTTAATTTAACTTTATTTAATTTAATTTTCTTCGATTGGAGGTGGATTAGGTATAATATTTTATTGACGAGAATATCGGAATATTTTGTTCGACGATTTTTCGAATCTTCGATTTAACGATGATTATAATTTTTTATCTATGACGTAATATGGTATTGTAATATATATATTTGTAAGGTTACGTCATTTTATAGATTTGATATTTGATTCGTTGGATACATATTTATTAATCGGTATTTATATATCATATGTTTGGTTATTGGACATACATTGTTTCATTTTTTTTTTTTAAAGAAAATCGAAATATATTTAATATATCATTTTTTTTGTTCTT